AGGGTGACATAATGTACTTTAATTAATGTTTACTTAGATATTTATTACCTAAGTAAAAATAAAATGTAAATAGTATTTGAAATTAAAGTGAAAATAATAGGTGAAAATTTCCTCACACTACTGATGTTATTTGCTACACTTACAACATTGCCACAAGTGGCAGAGAGGTAAGACATTTTGGGGGCAGAGAAATCACTGAGTCTTAGTTATTTCTTTCCTCTCATCTTTATAATCTCAGCAATGACAAGACTGTCTCATTTTGCTCAGCAATGTACTTCCTTGTCTATCACAGTGATGGGCACAGAGCCGGGCCTCAATAAACAGTCCTTGAATGATAGAATGAAAAAAGTGATAATACATGTTCATGAAGGCAAAAAGATTAAAATAAAAGTTAAATCAATCAAATGTAAATATTTATATTTATATAAATATCCATAATGTGGCTGGTATGTTCTAATTGCTATTTCAATGTACTTTTATAGGAGCGAATTTAGATTTAAAAGCATATATGGAATTATGCAAAAAGAAGCAGTCAAGAGATGAAAATGAGTCCTCTGTATTTATTGACTTCTTAAGAATAATCAATATTTCATTATTAAAGCTCAAATTCACATACATTAAAAAAATTAAAAGCATATGAATATGTTCAGAACAGGGAGTACAGCTGGAAGAGTTACTTCCAGGAAGTAGTCTGGTTCTCCACCATTGGGGCTTATATTGCCTTTGTGTTTAGTTCTTTGCTTGAGTATAAAATTGGTCTAGTATCATCCTAGTCTAATTGTTCTAGATTATTAGACATGGTTTCTAGAAAGCCTCAAGAATTTTGGAGGTAAAGCACTCTTGCCAATACAAAGAAGTTACCCGAGAGCAGTAAAGAACTGCAGGAGAAGCTATTGGGCTCATGTATCTGTTTTTGTTTGTTTTGTTGTTTAATACCAATGGTCTTTTAATGAAATGATGTGGTATTGATCCTCACATAGACTACTGATTTGAATTTCAGTTTAATTGAAAATGGCGTATCTTTCTTCTCTTTATAGAAAGCATCATCATTCACCAGTTGCGTATGAACTCCAGATGAAATGGTAAACCAAGCACATATTGGGTGTGTGTACTTCCTCTGAATCCCTGTTGAATGGATAGTATTTCTACAGCTCTCCATCATCACTAAGGTCTTCCGTGCTACTGATCACTACTGAAAATAATTTTCTACTTCCAGTGAATTTTTGGAGGCTATCATGTAAAATCTGAAAACAGCATAGCTGGTAACACAAAAATAGGTTGCAAGAGCGACTAAATCTTTGTGTCAAAAGAAATTTCCTTTTGAAAAGCTTTCAGGTCCATGGGCACATGTTATGTAATTTATTTTTATAATATGCTTTGTAATGTGATTTTTTTCCTAAAGTGTTTCCTTTTTCATAGTCTATGGCACATATATCTGTAGAATATACTGTCGTTTCTTCAAAGCATGGGCATTGGTGCATTAATAACAGTAACCTACAATTTTTTAAAATCAATGTGTTATTTCTGAAGAAAAGAAAGTATAGCCCTCTATATATTTCCTGGGGTAAATTCAAGAGTTAAAACAGAAGCAGGAGCTTCTGGAAGAGTTTTTATTATTGCTTGTGCAATGCTGTGATTCTGATCCTGGTTCAACGCTAACAAATAATGCTGTGGTTTAAAGTTTAACTTTAAATACTTAAAGCCAATTTTTAAAGTTGCTCTTTCTAGTGTTCTGTGCCAAAACCCTTGAATGAGTTGATTTTCACATGTAATAAATTAATGAAAGGAGATGTATGAGTTTAACATGTGAGGATTATAGGAACACCTTCAACTGACAGTTCAATTATATTTGTTTGCATTATTTACTTGTATGTGTAGGTCTCATGGTAAGAATATCAAGATATTTCTCACAATCTACCTAAGTGAAAGCCTGAAAATAAAAAATGACCAGGACAGTATCATCATTTTTTTTTTAAAAAGGTAATAGAAATCTGAAGATAGGTAACTTTTTATCTTATAGATTAGATTTGGTCAGATTTTCAGGATCACATACAGATTGGAGATTATATTCTTTAAAGATTAAAAGCAGAAGAATCATTCAAATTTCTATGTCAGAGCTGCTGTTGATTTTAGATTTATGTAAAAATATGCACCTAAAATCTATTTGAAACTCTGAATGTGGGTTTTTTTTAAAAGACTTTGTTAATGTGAACATGGTTTCAATAAGGTCTTTAAAAGGTAACTTTAAAGATCTGGTACATCAGTTTCTGAAGGCAGGAATCCTCTATTATGTAACTTTACTGAAATTAAGGAAACTATGCTTCTGGGTGTCACAAGGGTAACTATCATAAAAACCATACAAATAGTCCTGGCTGGTGTGGCTCAGTGGATTGAGAGTCAGCCTGCAAACCAAAGGGTCACTGGTTTGATTCCCAGTCAGGGGACATGCCTGGATTGTGGGCCAGGTCCCTGGTTGGCATATGTGAGAGGCAACCACACATTGATATTTCTCTCCCTATTTTTCTCCCTCCTTTCCCCTCTGTCTAAGAATAAATAAAATCTTAAACAAAACAAAACAAAAATACACAAATAAGTGGCCCAGTTCTCTATTCTACAGGTTGCACCCAGGTTTATACACCCATAGATGGTAGTTCACACTGAGTCTCCAAAATAGAACAACTAATGTTGGATTTCATTCCCTATGTGACTTTGTAAGGTTTGAGGGTATACCATGAGGGATTAGCAAATCATATTCAGAGGGTATTTTAAATGAAACCTATATCTATGTAAAATTAGTTTTGATTTTTATAAGTAAGAAATGCTACCATAGGCTTGTCCTAGCTTGAATGATTGTGTTTGCATCACATAACCTTCAAGGCTTTTGATTACCGATTGAGAAAACTAGAGTGTGTTTGTGTGAAGATTTAAAAAATTGTTGTTTTGGATTTTGTTTTCTGCAAATGTTTCTAAACTGTAATGATATTTTCAATTAAGAAAGGGGTTTATTTGGTATTGGTAAATTTTTTCCACTCACAATTAAGTTCCCTTTTGCCAATGTTTATACTTGGGATGGCAAAAATACTCTGTTACATCACAGATTAGCATTTGAAGGAAACAACTTTTTCTCAACTTGTGGAAATTTTATTACACTAATTGTGAAAATGCTAGAGAATAAGACTTTAAATACCTCTTGACTTTAAAATATTATAAGTAATTTATGTATATCTTGGGTCTATAACGAAACCTGTTCATTGCAGTGCAGAGTGAGGATGTCACCTAGGTGGATGCCGAGCTTTTTCCTGCTCACGCTATGCTTAAGTCTCCTGCTTAAACCCAAATGGAATCAGAGTGACAGGTGGCTAAGATTAACTGAAAATTTTGTTTTGAAATAAAACAGAATATTAAAAATTAACAACACATAGTCATATGCTTATCTAATAAATAAATGAACAAGTTCATAGCCATATCCCAATATCTACATCCAACTGAAAGAAACTGCCCCCGCATGCAAGCCTGGCACCATCCTGGGTTCATATAATTTCTATACCCTTTACTGTAAGTAAATCTCCAATCATCAATATGAATGATAACCAGTTTTGAATGGAATAATTATGTTTCGTGGAGCATAATCATTATTAGTGTTTTCAGTTTAAGGCACAACAAATGAATACATTATTTACCCTTTTCTTTTTGATAAGTTTGTTTTTTGAGGTATCTTCTGCAAAGATTTTTTTCAAGTATTTAATAAAATATTAGGATGTAATAAAAATAGTGGATAGAATAAATATTCCAGATGTTAGGTGCCTGGAATGTTCACAAAATGTGAAGAGTTAATCGTGTCTTAGTACAATCATAAGAGAATTTAATGGTGTGGAATATCTAGCTTAAGCATTAACAGAGACACCAACTGTGTTGAGATAATTCGCAAGTCCTACAGATCAGTAGCAGCGTAAGAGTAAATGGTGTGTCAGACAATCTAATACATTGTATCTTTTCTCTTTATGCTGTGGTTAAAATTTCCTGGAAATAAATAAAAATAGAGCAAAGGTAGGGTGTGTTCATGAATTTGGTGAGCACCAAATTCTAAAAATTTTTGTTATTCTATTTTTGTTATTCTAAAAATAACAAAACTGCAGAATGAAAGTTTAAAAACACAAAAGCTGGCCCCTGAGACTTGTACCCTCCTCTGGGCCTCCAGTGCTAGGCCTCTGCCGAAAATACCAGTTAGAAGGCAAAAAGGAAAAACAGTAAAAATTGTAATGAATTCATAAAAATTGGGAAAGTTTTATGGAACTAATGTTGCTTAATGACCACTAATATTTTATTTTCTTATACTTTCAGCATTTCCTCCATAACGACCCAATGACAACCATGTTTGTTGCACAGGGAGAATGCTGTAGATTCATACATTTGACCAGAAATGTGTATAGAGGTTGTGACATGATACATTTACTTTTGGGTGTTTTTTTTTCTTTATGTTATTTGGTTAGCTTTACCTTACCATTCACAGATTTTGTTCACAGTACAAACATGTATTTATTTCATCTAGATTTTTGTTTTAAAAATATCAGATGTCAGCTTTTCCACTATAAGAGGATTACGATGTGATCAGATATTCTTGAAGCCTTGCAGGTTTAATGGATTTCCGGAAGCAAATGAGTACACTGAAAAGTTGTGGAGTTACATTCTACTTTCACAGCATTCTCAATTTTCTTTACTTTAAGTTTTATTAAGTAGATGAGATGTTTATTTTTCACTATAGCCAAGTGAATTTATGAATATGTACTTGTCTTTTATATGAATGCGATATCCTGCTTTCAGTTCATCACAGGTTATTGAAATTACTTAACCAATTAAGACATTCTCTATGTTATTTCCAACGTCAACTTTGTTTATCAAAATCTCACCAGAGTGAGAAGGATAACAATTGTGATACAAAAGCACTGTGCAATATTCTTTTTTGAGTTAGAACATTATATGCATAAAATTAAAATCTTTTAAAGTGAATATTCCACCTTATTTTAAATTGTTTGCTTTAAAATAGTCTTCACTTCTGCATTTCCTATTTTGTTAAAAATGTTGTGTTTTTCACTGTGAATTAGCAGAAGCGATACAATAAGCAGATCTGCCAAATACAGGATGCTTTTCCTCTGAGTTGCAGCATAGTTCGATTCTTTAGTAGATGGAAACTGCAAGACACAAGATTGAAACTGGTTACAGGATTCCTCTTGCCCCTTTATCCTCACCAAAGGCTTTGTCAGTGAACCTTCAAATAATACTCTACCATTTTCTACAGGTAGATTACTCAGTGGACCAAACACTCCTGAGGTTTTGCCACCAGTCCACAGCCAAGCCTCCACAGTAGCAGTTGGGCAATGGTTTCAGCAAGTGGAATGGGGTGGTAATGGGTCGTACTCTGATCTGTTTGATTTCCCAGCCTGGTGACAAAAAATGGTGGCCCACAGCCATAGCCAATCCTCACTTATTTTTGTCTTATTTGGGACAAATAAGCTCACATAATAGGTTACTTCTCTTTATTATTTAAAAATATACATATCAAAAAAGCAGGCATGGGAGATGGCAAAATGAAGCTTTCCAAAGGCAAGGTCCATGGGAGAGGTCCATCTCTGCGACCTCTTTTCTCAGAGGAGTGCCCTTTCATGCCCACGGTTTAAAGGCACTAGCCAAAAGTCACTGCCTGTTTATTTCATGACTTCCCAGGAGAATGGGTCTCAGGATTCCCACCAGATTTGCTCGAATGGATTTCCTCCCCTGGAACCCCAGGCTAGAGTCACCTTTAATGAGCAACAGGCTCTCCCCTTGGGTAGAGAAACTACAGTAACCTCCCTGGGCACCATCCTTGTTAGCAGTAGGCAACAATGCACCATGCTTTTTTTTTTTTGAATGTCATAAAATCTACTTTTGAAATGTTTATTTACTGCATCCAGAGGAACCTACGAAAGATGTCAAACACTGAGTGAGGCCTTCTTTTGCCAGGGCCACCCTCAGTGCCTGTGTGGTTCCACAGATAATGTTTGGAACCTAGCTCCCTGAAGCTCACATAATTTTTATGAAAACATAACCCACCCTGCTTTGGTTCCCCTGGCATTATTTCCAGCTTTTCTTTCAGAGATAAGCGCTTCTAATGAGAAAATCTTTTTCTATTTCTCTTCAGGAGTCCATTTGTCCCATTCTGCTTTATACTGACTGGCCTTGGTATTCAAAGCTATCATCCCACTTTGAGTAAGCTTCTTAAATGCTGGACTTGCATATTCCTCATAGTGAATACAAGGTACTGGATAAAAAGTGCTGGCAAAGGGCAATGTAATTCCTTCTAGAGAAGGGCCTATCCCCAGTCTTCTTCCAGCTATCCTACCTCCTCCCGCCTCCCCCCCACCCCGATCTTTACAGACCTTCCCCATAACCCCAATCATATTCTCCTTTTTGGTCTTTTTGACTCCCAGTACACATTTCTTTCTCCTCTTTGAAGACAAGGCACATGTTTAGTAAAAATGGCAGGGTGTTTTGTAGACACCTAATTATTGACTCCTAATCCCAAAGGGTTGCTTCTTTAGAAATAGTACTTCAGCCAGGGTATTTTGTACCAGGTCCTTTTCGCTACAAATTGTGCTGGCTGCTCATTCTTCCCTTGCAGAAACCTCTGTGCCCACTGATTGTTTCAAAGGCAGAGAATCTGGAGTAAACAAGAAAAGACTCTCAATAATCACTGATTCTAAGAGAAGGTATGCTCTCTGCAAAGACAAAGGGCCCTTAACAGACCACCAGATGGTATGCCATTTTAACAAGAAAAGTGTGTTCAGTCATTTTCAATTCACAAAGAGATCAAGCACTGGTTCCCACATGGAGCAGTAGTGCACATAGGCAGTAGGACAAAAGGATTGTATAGGCCATCAAAGTGAATATCAAACTCCCACAAGTGGTGGGTATCAGAGATCTCTGTTTTCAGAACAACTACTAAGATCTTACTTGAGAAAAAATATATGATCAGCTAGAGTATACTTTCACAAATCATTAACACGTGTAGTAAAAGGGCTAACTATTTCTCTTGTCCTTTTTTGATCCTATTCTTTTTTGGGTGGAGAACCGCAATATCACTCAGACGTTAGGATCACTTCTACAGTTTATTTTTTGACATCATAAAGTAGGTGTGGTAGGTGCTCACATATCCCACAATCCCTTGTGCGCACACCTCATGTATCACTTACCTCACTATATTTCAATTGTTTGTTGGCAAGTCATCTCTCCCAGTAAAATGTTTCACTGAGTAGGTCAGGTTAGTTCAACAGGATTTATTGAATATCTCTTCTGTCCTAAGTACTTTTGCCAGGTGTTGGAGATTCAGAAAGTCTCTGATTTTGAGAAGCTTGTATCTAGTGGGAAAAATACACTTTTCAGTACTATGATAAGTGCAAAGATAGAGGTATGTATAAGTTGCCTTGAGCTCAGAGAACAGTTCTTAGCTCAGTCTGAGGGGACAAAGAAAAATTCCTCAAATGGACTACTGATCTGAATCTCAAAGAGTGAGTAGGAATTAGGTAAGGCAGTTTCAGGACAGGTGGTGTCTGAAGTGCAGGTGCTGTAGTTTGCTCAGTGACCAGGTTTAGGAATCGAAGGCAGCGAGTACAGATTATTCTTCCAAGAAGATTCAGGAACAATAAAAATGATGTTGTGGAATAGTTTGTTGAATCCCTACCTTGTCCCCGCACAGTGTGTTGGTCAGAGGGAAGCCCTATGAGGTCTTGATGTTTGTTGTCATAGATATTTAGTTCCATTGACTAAAAAAAAGTGTTTCACTTCTCGAGCTCAATAAAAGTAGACGTTTACATTTAAGTTCATTTTTTGACAGTCATCCTTCAAGAATATGTTGGAGTTATTTTTAAGAAATACATGAGTAACATTATAGGTGTTTGAAACCCAAGTGTTTAAAAAAAAAAAAACAACCAAATGATGAAATGTACCCCTCTCCTACCCTGGATTTTCAACACTTGGAAAAACAGAAAAATGTAAGTTACAATTATATCTTAAAAAATAGCCCAAACCTATGATTAACAAGATATTAACATTTTTAAAGATCTACTTTCCTATATCTCTTGATGATTCTCATGGAGTAAGGACAGGTGTCTTTCCTCCTCTGACCTTCCAGTTTTAAAATAACTGCACTACTATACATGTAATAGAGGTCAGCTGGCTATCAACCAACAGGTGGAAAAATTATAATTTGAAGGGAAGACCTTATGTATGATTGATGAAACCTGCTGAAAAAGATATACCACAAGATATAATCGCCTGAGAGATTCTACGTAGAAGTCATGAAGTCTCATTAGTTATATCCTTTTATTTAAAGAAGGTGTGGATTTATGAGAAATGAAATGTTATTTCCTTCCTCAAAGAAAGTTTTTAGGCTGTCTACTAAGGAATACTGGTATCACTGCTCTTTCTTCTAATGAGACTAATCATTTAAATAACTGGTTTGTCTCGTATTTCTGATTACTGACTGTTGTCATTCAGAAACTTGTTAAATCTTTCATCACAACACCAGTGACCTCAGGCTAATCAGTCTCTCAGGGTTAGAACAAAAGGATTTTCTTAAATGATTACCTGAAAATATTTAGTAAGTATACCAGATAAAAATTAGGAAAAGGCCAACTTAAAAAAAATAATTTTTCAAAATCAGTTTGAATCAATCTCTGATGCAATAAATACAGAAATTTCTATACAAATTCTATATCATCCTTTCTCTAAAATTAATCTTCTCTACTAAGAATATTATTGAGGTCCTCAACATTCCCTAAAGTAAGCTTAATACCATGATCAACAAAATACAAACAACAACAAACAACCAGTACAAACTATTTCCAGCCCCCAAGAATTTTCTCTAATGTTCATGTTGGTAAAAAAACTAGGGTACATTTCTCAGCTCTTTAACTTTCCTAAACATTTTTAAGCTAAACATGTAAGATGATTTAAGTATTGTTAGAAGCTAGAGAACTAAAGCAGCATTAAATACTCAAAGGAGCCTACTAAGTAAATCCGTGTGGCATTTTTGATAAACAAGGAAAAGATCAGTTTCAGTTTCTTCTTCTTAATTCCTTAAGTAACTTAGTGGTTATTTTTTCCTTCAGTGTTTCTGGTTACCCAGTTCAGTGTCTTAAACAAGCAACTTAATTAAAAAACAAAATTTATTATAAAACTTTCCCTCCAAAAGCTATTTATGGACACCTTTTCAGATCATCGGGTTTGCATCTGTTCTATTTTGGATTTGTTTTCCTATTTGGGCTCAGGCATTTGTTGCACACTTACTGTGTTCACCTGGTAATCAGCACTAATCAATGTCATTTAGCCACATACATTTTTTAAAAACCAGGAATTAGCAAATGAACAATCATTTAAACAATGTTTTCTAAATGTGTCATCAACACACACAGACACACATACACACAAACAGCCCAGTCATTCCTAGCAGCCAGAGTGAAAAAATGCATATATGTACTGGTAAACCACTGTCAGAACAACCACTCTTTTGCTGCCCCAGAAATACTAAACATTTTCTTTTTAAAATTCCTACATCATCAGATTAAATGAAAAACTACCTAGTAAAGACTATCATAAAACAATGTATTTCCAATGTTGTTTGACTAATGAAATTCTGAGTCTCTTGAGCTAATAATGTGGAGGTGAAAACAATGTTGTTGCTGGGGAAGCAGCATGTTGTGATGGCAAAGTACAGTAGAAGGAAAGGAACTGGATGTCATCAAGAGATCTTGAAAAGCCATTTCATCCATTTGGTCCTCACCTGAACTGTAAGTTTTAGACAAGAATCTGAAAAAACTTCTTTTTAGATTCTAGTTTGAAAAGTCTGTTTCAGTCAAAATGGAATTTCTAATAAGAAAAAAAAAAGACAAGGAGTAAATCTTTCCTGTGAATAAACAAAACTAAAGAAAAAGAAAGCCAATAAATACATGGAGATCATTCAGATCACTAAAACAAACAAAAAACTGGAGGCAAAATACTGATCCTATTTAGACAAAATGCTGGAATAGCAAATCACATAAACTATCACATTTAGTGGGTGTGATATAGGCAGAAATGAGGAGGAAAAAACTTGCTTTATGCTTTGTGCATTATGCCCAATATTGTTGTATACATTTTCACTAATCAACAGAATTAGCAAAATGAAAGGAGCCCATGACTTCTCCATTAACTGTGATAGATGAATATTTTCCCTTTCAGCCTGAGGTTGAAAGTAAACTCACAGAGATGAAAACAAAGTGTATATAATCCTACCTATGTTGCCAATGCTGAGAATTCCAAAAATAATGGATGTTGTACAAGAGCAAAACTAGGCAAGTTCGTTATCTTCTAGATAATTTGGTTCACATCTTCAGACCTGCAGTCATTTTGAAAGTACATTTAATTGTAAGGTACATTTAATTATGAGGCCCAAGTGCTTCTTTTGTCTCCCTTTCCTTGACTTACCTTCCCAAAGGAATGACTGCAAAGCCTTAAAGAAAATAAAGTCGGGATATCTGTTTACAGATGAGGAGACTTAGTGTCTGGCCTGGATTTCAAAGATGCCAATATAATGTGGAATGTATAGAATTTTAAAAAGAATTTTACAAATATATGCTTATTGCAGAAATTTTGGAAAATACAGAAAAAGTACAAAGATGTAGAGAAAAAACACTCCCCATTAGGTTAACAGAGGCTACCACTATTTTTTAGTTGGGCCTTTCCCTCTATTCCTCTATTACCTTGGTATCAAGATTTAGTAATTTTATATACCATGAATATTTCCATCGGTAATTAAATACTTGGCAGTTTTAAAGTGCCTGCATAGGATCTCACTTTGTAGTAATGTTATAATTTATTGAGGTGTTTCTTTTTATAAATAAAATAAATGTTATTTATAAGGACAAAATAATTACTTTATATTCATATTTATTTACAGTAACATTCAACATCAGAACAGTGAAATGACCTTAATATGTACAGGGTGGGGCAAAAGTAGGTTTACAGTTGTTCACATGAAAAGTAACACAATAATTAATAAAAATAATACAAGAATGAACTGTTTTGCATGCTCACAACTGTATCCCTACATTTGCCTCACCGTGTACTTAAGAAAAATATGAGCCTAGGACTGTATCCAGCCAAGCTGTCCTTCAAATTTAGACTATACAGAGTTTTGAATATTATTGAGGTTTATCAACTGTAAAATAAGGAGCTACTACTTATTACAACAGTCTTCTTAAATCTGCGCAAGAGACGTGATCACCGAAAATATGGCAAAAACAAAAACATTAATGGAAGAAAAATAAGTAGTAATAGATCAAGTAGAGGCAAAATAATAGGGTTAAGCAAATCACATGATTTATTCTCGACTTCAGGACAAAAGAGACGTCCATCACGTTTCTCACATAACGTTTGTATTTGCACCTTGGAGATTTATTTTAGAGAAACTCGCGGTTTTATAAACCAAGCAAATACTCCAATCACGTTGTCTTTTAAATGCTCCGATTCCCTTCAGAGAGGGCTTTTGATAGAACAAAAACCCACCCAGTGACGAAGCCACTAGAAAGATCCACTACGGTGGACCAGGCCGGGTGGCTCAGACCCGTTACCTAGGACTGCCCTAGCCAAGATAACCTGAGCCGCAGGTGGGTAGGTGCGAAGAGAACTTTGTGAGAAAAGCAAGGAATAGTACGTCAAAGGCTTACGCGCCCGTACCTTCTAGCTGCACCAACCCCCGCCCCCCCCAACCTGCGCATGCGCAATGGTAGCTCCACGTTCTAGGGTTAAGGCCCCTTTTTCGTCACAGGGAAGATGAGCAGCGTGCGTCCACCGTTTCCCACCTCCTTCTATCCTCTCCTTCCTTCTCCCCTTGTCTCTCAGTCCTCTCCCTCGTTCCTCTCCCCCTCCCGGTCTGGAGTCCCCAGCCGACTCCGGCTTCCGGTCAATGGCCGACTGCGGAAGGGTGTCCCGCCTCTTCCGCTTGTATTTAGGAGGTCGCGGCAGCAGCCGCGCCTGCGCGTCTACTGCCAGGGTCAGCAGGCGGGTCCCTTGGGCAGTCCACCTGAGTGCCGCGGAGCAGTGTCCGGGGGGACCATGGCGATGAACTATAACGCGAAGGAAGAAGTGGATGGTGGGCCACCGTGTGCTCCTGGGGGCACCGTTAAGAACAGGAGACCGGATAATACGGCCTTCAAGCAGCAACGACTGCCGGCTTGGCAGCCCATTCTCACGGCGGGCACGGTACTACCTACCTTCTTCATCATCGGTCTCATCTTCATCCCCATTGGCATCGGCATCTTCGTCACTTCCAACAATATCCGCGAGATTGAGGTGAGGTGGGCGAGTGGCGGTGGGAACTGGCCTTGCCTGGGGGAGCGGGATCCTGTCGGCCTGCTCCACTCGCTCCGCAGCTCTCAAGAGGTGGACCCACGGTCCTCACCTCCCCGACACCTCCCCTCTCTTGCTCAGTTTCTTCTTTCCTTCTGTGGGTTTTCTGAATTTGTGATTTGCATGATTAGAGGCGGAATGAATGTTTAACGCAGAGGGTGGGTCAGATGAACGCCCTTTTAATGGGCAGTTTGTGTGGCTCACTGGTGTTTTGTTTTGTTTTGTTTTCCAACGAAGGTTAGGAGAGGGAGAAAGAAGTGGAAAAAATATTTATGTCTAGATTACTCCAGGAGAATTGACGCGGTCAGAATGTCATTATTTGTGCGGGCATTATCCTAGGAGATTAACACTTTAGCCATTGTTGGGTAAAGGACCCAGAGCCGTGGAGGTTTTGGTGATTTTTATCTAAAGAGGTTGTCATGTGTTACCAGGTCATATATTAGGGCAAGTGACCGACGTGTGCACAGTACCTTTTATTTGGAGCTAATTGATGCTTGTAGTTGTAGGGCATGATACAGGTAAAAGGTAACCTGAAACTTCAATTCCGGTTTTGCTTTTAGGCTGTGTTTATTAATAACAATGCCCTACATTCGCCCTAGTTTTTCTTTTCCCCTCGATTTTAAACTTAAAAAATGTCAGTAATCAGAATAAACCATACACTGTTTACTAAACATTTTACTAATGTAAGACATTTTAGAGAAACTTGGGGAATCATCTTGAATTGTCAAAGCAGCAATCAGTATATTCATCCATCTGCAGTAGTGAAGATAGTTTGATAATAGAATGTAAGTACTGGGTATAGATGTCCAGTATTAAACACCTGCTAATCTCTTTCCTTGAATATCTGAGGGTATTTTTTTATCTGTTTAAAGGGCAGTAACTAGTGACAAGTTCTCTTGGTTTCTTCTTTTCTATCAGGTTATTATCATTTTTCTCCTCTAATTTTATATATGTAATTTAATGGGGCTCTCTGTAATTTTAACTACAGGAATAGGCATAAGGTACCTGTTTTCTAGTTTAATTTAGAGTGCTACCTCTGAAAACAAAATTAGTATGTCTTTAACTGTACAGTGCTCTCACATCTATGTTAATAACAGTAATAAAAATAGAATCTGTAGGATAGTTTTTAAATCTTTTACTAAAAATCACTTTCATTTTACTAACTAGAGAAAGTGTCAGGGTTTTTTTAAGCATGTGTTTTTATTTGTTTTATTGTTTCTATCTCCCTAATAGTCCTTCAAATGTAGTACTTGTTCTCCCAGCTATGCTAGGATCAGACATATTAGTAAAGAGGTATATTTCTTGAAAGGACCATGGGCTCTGGGCTGGGGCAGCCAGGGCTGGGTTTAAATTCAGCTCACTTTCTTGGAATACTTAATCTCTCTGATATTCGAGTTTCCTTATCTGTAAAATAGATAAAAAATGCCTATTTAAAATGTGAGAATTAGAAAAAGTGTAGATAAGTTCCTTGGAATTAAGTTTGTATAATAAACAGCTACTGTTACGATGATGATCCCTAATCAGGAGATGACAAATGGAGCCAGAGAGGTTGGCATTCACTAGTAAGCTAGAAGAATATTGTAAAGTTGAGGCAGAAACCCAACCCAGATATCTTTATTCCCAACCTTAAGCTTTTACGCTACATGAAGATTCCTACTGCAGTGTTAGTACTTAAGAAGAAAATTAATGTTAGAAATTTGATCATCTTATTTAAATTTCTTAAGATACTAAGATGAGTAGCAATAATTTGCAATTAAAAAAAGATTTTATTTTTATATTTATTTTTAGAGAGAGGGAAAGGGAGGGAGAAAGAGAGGGAGAGAAATATCAATGTGTGGTTGCTTTACACCCTCTGCCCCACCGGAGACCTGGCCTGCAACCCAGACATGTGCCCGTGACTGGAAATCAAACCAGTGACCCTTTTTGGTTCACAGGCTGGCACTCAATCCATTGAGCCACACCAGCCAGAGCAATGATTTGCAATTTTGTATGAGGATATTCATTATCAATACTCAACTTCTGTTAATATTTACTCTGCTGTGAAAGTACTTTCTTTAAAGCTTTGGGTTTTGAAATAAAATAAGGCTCTTCACCGTCACACTAAGTAGTTGGTGAAATGGAATTTTTTTTTTTTGCCATATAATAGGTTTTTTACTTTAAAAAAATTTATTTAATTGTTGTCCAAGTACAATTTCTTAAATAGTTCTCATGTATATGCTTCTGATTTCAAGCAGCCTGAAGAGCCTGCTGCAGCTTAGTCTGGTTTAAAGGGCACTGAAGTTAAAAGTCAAGCAAGGCCTTAGCGTTGAAGTTATAACTCTCTTAGTCATTATAGGCACATTTTTGCCTCTCAGTTGTTTTACTTGAAGAACCAAAAGATTCAGAGACTAGGTGATCTCTAAGATGATGTTTACCTCTAAAATTGTATGACTTCCAACTTTAATGTGATTTTTAAAAAATGCTACATATCCAAATTGTATTACCTTTGTAACTAGAGGAAATGAAAAGTAGGACTGATTAGGAATTTTATAATCTACACTAACCTAAGTTGTGCCAATAGAATAATTTTTTTTCAATTGGCTCTATATATGTATAGCATTGGTTGTGAATTGAGTCTGGAGTTTATTATGGGACAAACCTAGGGAGCTTTCCCAAACACATGCTTGCTTCTGCCCACTCTCTACCCTTTGTAAGGCACTATGGTAGTTTAGTTTAAAATAATGTTGAGGGTCATTTAAAGTAAATGGGTAACCAGAAGTTCTTACTAACATGTTCTTTCATACTATAGTTTGCTCACAACTCTTAGTTTATTTTCTCATTTTTGAAAAAAAAATTTTTATTCTCACCCGAGGACATGCTCATTGTCGAGAGAGAGAGAGAGAGAGAGAGAGAGAGAGAGAGAGAGAAAGAATCGTGGATGTGAGAGAGAAATATCTGATAGACTGCCTCCTGTCCCTGTCCACTTAGGGACTGAACTGCAACCTAGGCACCTGCCCTGACTGGGGATTAAACCCAAATCCTTTGCAAGTGCATG